TTCTCATCATCTTATGGACGATATATATATATATATTACACTCCATCTGATATAGAATATCTTGTAGATAATTCATTTTGTTTGAAAGAAAATCTTTCGTTTGTTACATTAAAATTTGAGGATCTAAAATCGTCTTTTGACTTAATAATCTCCTCCTTTTTAATAGTGATAAACATACTAAAAAAAATTACAATGAAAGCACAAGTATTCTACAAAGAAATATATACATAATTTACAATAAGTGTTTCTTTGTATGCGAGATTCTAATCTGTGTATCTCACTATACTTCTTTTTTCACATTTTCTTTCTTGAAGACTTGATCCTTATATAGTAGTTTTAGAGAAAATGACTGTTACAATAATTTGATATAAACTCATAAGTTGTTTCACGAGTTGTTTCGTCTGTCTTCACTACTGATCCTAGAGATTATCATTGCTTTATTTAATGTGAGCATTAAATGCCTCTTAGTAAAGCATATACCTCTTATCTGATCTAGTAGACTACTTATCATCATTTCTTTCTAGAAAAGAGTATAATAGAAGCAATGTCAATGCAAAATTGTCAAATTCAGCTCATTGCAGCTCTTGCAGATTTTGAAAGTTAGACTTCTTTCTTGTTAGATCTATTAAGAAATAAATCATTTAATAAAATATATTATTAGTCTCACTTTTAAAAGTATATGTTTAAAAGAAAATCCTTTATTTGTTATCATTAAAATTGAGGGATCTAAGATCCTATTTTGATTTAACGATCTCCTCCTTTTTGAAAGTGACAAACATACTTACAAAAAATTCAATATTGTTTTAATTTTGAAAGAGATTTTCTATGATAAGACATAATGAATTTTAATTTTTTGAAAGCTTTTCAATTACAAAACTAAAAATATTTTTAATAGAGAAAATATACTTTGATTAAAAAAATTATATCATACTTATGTAAATTATTTTTATTATATTTGAGCATATCAAACTATTACGGCTTGTAATATCAAAATTTTGGGAAGTTAAATGATGTCACTTCTATTTAACTCTTTTTCAATTTGATAAATTCAATTTTTTTAATATAGAAGATATTATTATGAATTTACAAAAAAAAATTAAATACTAAATCAAACATTTTAAAAATTCAAAATAAATAATTAACAAAATAATATATTGATAAAAAAAATAAGATAAATGAAACTAACGGCAATAACATCTCACATGCTTCTTTTGTAGAATACCTTCATTTACGTGATAACTTTTGTTTCTCCGATGGAAACATTAAAGAAAAAGATAATGAAAATATTAAAGATAATAATAATAATAATAAATTATAGGCCTAATATTTTCAATTAGGCTCTAATTTTTTTTTACTATAGATTCAATGTTTCCACTATTCCAAATATTTTAGATATCCAATTGATGAGAATTATTTTGTGTGTTTGAAGGCTTGGGATCTCCTTTTTATATAAGGAAAGAAAGAAGTGCATGAGATTGTTGTGAGAAATGTGGAACCTTCTGGTTAAGAAAAAAACAAAGTCAAGTTTAAATACTTTTTTATATTAAAATTCAAACTCAAGTTTATAATATAAAATAATTATAAATAGTGATAAAATTAAATATAATATAGAGAATAAAGTATAAATGATATATTTTTATATTAAAATTCATACTCAAATTTATAATATAAATATTAATTAAAAATATGATATGATATATTCATAAACTTAAAAATAAGACTTGGTTTATAATGTAAAAGTTAATGTTGTAACTAAAACATAAGTACAAGATTAAGATTGAATATTTACATTCTTACTTACAATATGATACATTCTCTATGTGTGTTTCAAAAGTGACTTTACCACTATTTTACATTTAGGAAACATTTGGTACAAAAAATATTTTTATTTTTATTTTTTTGGAAATCTTAATTTTTCATGTTTTATAGTTATTTAAAAACAAATTCTCAAGAATATAGTTTTTCGAGAATCATTTTTATCACTTTTTCACAAAATTCTCGTGAAAGAGGGTGAAATTCAACTTTTTCAAATTAGGTGAAAAATTTCGTGTATATAAAAAAAAATATAATATCTCTTTTTAAAATAGAAAATCTCTCTCCTTCTCTCTCCCCTTCTATTTCTATCTCTCTCACCCTCACTTCCTCTCCCCCTCTCTCTCCCATTCTATTTCTCTTTCTCCTTCTATCTCTATGTTTCTCTCACTTTGACTCCCCCTTTCTCTCTCTCTCCATCTCCCCCTCCTCCTTCTCTCTCCTATTTCTCTTTCTCCCTCTCTCTGTCTCTCTCCCTTCTCTCTCCTTCACGTATATCTATTTCTCTCGCCTTCTTCTCTTTCTTTTATTTCATTATTTCTTAACTTTGTCAATTTTAATAATATTATTAAAATTTATTTTATTTTTATAATTTAATAATATTTGTTAACAATTTTTCATTTCATTTCATTTTTTATTTGAATGAAATGATAATATATTTTTATCCATCTTAATTATTATGTAACATTTTCCCTTATTTATTTCTTTTGTTGAATTTTGTACTTAAGTAATTTTAACTATAAGTTTTTAACTTTTTAAAATAGTTTAATGTCATATTTGTAATAAGATTTAAGTAAATAAATATATTTAATGAGTCTATTTTAATAAAGGATATTTTTTGTAAAAAAATATTTATATACTCAAGAATATACTATTATAACCAAACATGAAAATCTTTAATTCTCAAAAATCCTGTATGAATATTTCCAAGAACCTTTCTGAGTAACCAAATAGATTTTAGTTATTCTTATGAATCATAATTCCTAGGATTTGTAATTCTCATGAATCATGATTCTTAAACATGGAAAAACTTCTTTCCTATGAAATACCCCCTTAATATCTAAATTGTCCGACTTTGGTCTTCAAATTTTAATTAAGCAACTTTAATTTTTTAAATATTACAATTGTATAATTTTAGTCTCTTAAAAGTATCACAATTATATTATTTTTAACCTATTTAAGTTATAAGATTGTTATAAGATTTTTTTTATATAATCAGGAATGTGAATTTTGGAAGGAAGAGATAAAAAAAAATTGGAGAAAAGAAAAAATAAAAAAGAAACAAAAACTTTTAAGCAGAAAAACAAGAACTTTTGAAAAGAGAAACAAAAGCTTTTGGATAGAATAATAAAAAAAATATCAACTAGTTTTTTTTAAAGAATGAAAAAATAAAAAATAAAAAATTATCTCAAGAATAGGATTTGAATATGAGTATTTTTTAGTTCTTGCATATGTTAAGTAAAAAAGTTATCCTAAACAACTTATCAAAATAAGTTTAAAATATCTTATGAGTTATTAGTTATAAAATATTCTATAAATTTGTCCAAACACCCTTATAAACACTTATAGGATAAAATAAATAAAAATAAATTATTTATAAGTTCTTTCAAATAATAGTTTAATCTAAAAATAATTCTAAAATAATAAATAAGAATAATACAAATAATAAATAAAATTAAAAATATTTTAATAAATATAATACATATTTTATATAAAATCTTAAAAATTAAATGCATGGAACTACCATCATTAATAGGTGTAAAATTATTTTTATATAGAGTATGAATTATTGAATGTAGTAAGTTTAGCTAGATTTATTCCTAAATAAATAAATATCTCATATATATATATATATATATATATATGAAAAGTAATTAAGCCTTCAAATGCATGTATCAAAAATATTCTTAAGAATAGGTTTGAGAAAGGGAG